GTCCATATTGGTACCTTAAAGATACATATAAGTACCTAAACAGTCCATATTGGTACCTTAAAGCTACATATAAGTACCTAAACAGTCCATATTGGTACCTTAAAGGTACATATAAGTACCTAAACAGTCCATATTGGTACTTAAAGATACATATATGTACCTAAACTGTCCATATTGACAGTCCATATTGGTACCTTAAATCTACATATAAGTACCTAAACAGTCCACATTGGTACTTAAAGATACATATAAGTAGCTAAACAGTCCATATTGGTACCTTAAAGATACATATAAGTGCCTAAACAGTCCATATTGGTACCTTAAAGCTACATATAAGTACGTAAACAGTCCATATTGGTACCTTAAAGGTACATATAAATACCTAAACAGTCCATATTGGTACTTAAAGATACATATAAGTACCTAAACAGTCTATATTGGTACCTTAAAGATACATATAAGTACATAAACAGTCCATATTGGTACCTTAAAGCTACATATAAGTACCTAATCAGTCCATATTGGTACCTTAAAGCTACATATAAGTACCTAAACTGTCCATATTGATACCTTGAAGATACATATAAGTACCTAAACAGTCCATATTGGTACCTTAAAGCTACATATAAGTACCTAATCAGTCCATATTGGTACCTTAAAGCTACATATAAGTACCTAAACTGTCCATATTGGTACCTTAAAGGTACATATAAGTACCTAAACAGTCCATATTGGTACCTAAAAGATACAAAAGTGTACCTTTTGAAAGTGACCGCTTTTGTAACTTTTTTTCTGAGAGTGTAAGTGATACACAAGTAAAGAACTGTGATTAGTCCTTCATTGACGTCTAAAGAGCATCTGGCTGCTGTTTTGTTGAATCCTTCGCTTAATATTTTCGTTGTCTGTCTGTCAGCGATCTGAGCTGGAACCAGTTGAGCCGTTTGGAGGAAGGCAGTTTCGTTGGACTCAGCGTCCTCAAGCAGCTCCACATCGGAAACAACCGCATCAGTTTCATCGCTGACGGAGCGTTTCGAGGCCTCGCCAACCTGCAGGCTCTGTGAGTTCGTTATGACTTGAACGAGCTGTTTTTGCGGTTTAGTTTCGATAAATGGTCTTCTCTGGACATCAGACTCTTCCTGTGAATCCTTTCATATCATTAACACCAGTTCTGAACATGCAGTTCAACAATAACCCTGTAAAGCCGGACACCTGAAATAATAATCAGAAGAATCTGTTTTTTTTTTAATGCGAGAGTTTATTTGACTTTTAGACAGAATCTAAAAAAAGTTTGCATTTGTGACCCTGGACCACAAAACCAGTCATACGGGTCAGTTTTTTGAAATTGAGATTTATACATCATCTGAAAGCTGAATAAATAAATAATAATAAATAAAAGCAACATATTTGTGACCCTGGAGCACAAAAGCAGTCTTAAGTCGCTGGGGTATACTTGTAACAAAAGCCAAAAATACATTGCATGGGTCAAAATTATAGATTTTTCTTTTATGCCAAAAATCATTAGGATATTAAGTAAAGATCATGTTCCATGAAGATATTTTGTAAATTTCCTACTGTAAATATATCAAAACGTAATTTTTGATTAGTAATATGCATTGCTAAGGACTTAATTTGAACAACTTTAAAGATGATTTTCTCAATATTTTAGATTTTCTCAATTATTTTTCAAATAGTTGTAGCTTGGCCAAATATTGTCCTATCCTAACAAACCATACATCAATGGAAAGCTTATTTATGATGTATAATCTCAATTTCAAAAAATTGACCCTTATGACTGGTATTGTGGTCCAGGGTCACATTTAATAAACGCAGACAAAAGCAGCAGAGCTTTCTTTCATTTATCAGTGTTTATTACTAGAGTATTCTGAGTAACAGATGATCCATAAAACTATTTTTTATAAATGTACACGCCATGAGTCACATGTTCGTCACTCATTTGGCTCTGGCATTTGAATCAACGTGTTCGTTTGTTCATGTATGTGGCTCCGCCCACTCGGGCTCCACTCTTAAACAGAACCTAATGGCAGAGTTCAGCGCAGCTTTACGACTCGTCTTTTCTGGGTGTGGATTTTAACTGTGGTTTCTCCGATTTCTCGCCCTCTCCAGAGATCTGAAGCATAATGAGATCTCATGGACCATCGAGGACATGAACGGCCCTTTCTCTGCTCTCGACAATCTGAGGAAACTGTGAGTGATCTTATTTGCTTATTCATTGTTTGCGATATTATACAATTTTTAGAGCTGTCAATTTAGCGCATTTGACGTACAGACATGTGTTATCTTACATTGATGAACCGGACGACAACTGACTGCGTGAATGCAGTTATATGAGCATAAAATTCAAGATATGAGCGCAAAAATGACCCTCTTATATTTATATCATATGAAATAGTTTAGTAATATCACACCAGCAAGTAATCCTCAATATCTGCACCACTGCAGATGTCATAGTGATTTGTTACAACAGTTCAATGAACAAGAAGTTAATTTTGTGTTACGTTTTAGATGTAATGTTGTCTGTTTTGCTCAATTTTGCAAATTAAAATAGTTCAATTAAAGCCACAGCAGATCTCGAATCACACACAGTGGTGATTCGTTGAATCTGCGGGTTTGAATGAATCAAGTGAGTCAATGATTCAGTGACTTGTTCATTTGCTTCATTGGCTGTTTGAATGAATCGCTTGTATGAATGATTCAATGACTCACTCATTAAGAGAGTGACTCGCCGTCACTTTCTAGCGCTTTTAGTTTCATATTTAAAGTATCATTTTATTAAAGAATCTAAATATTTCTCTCTAAAGCTACTTTTTTGTAATGTCTAATAAATGTTTTTTTCATCTAACGCAATGACTTGAAAAGACCTTTTGGGAGGTAATTTCTTAGCCAAAATTGATGTGTGATTCATTTGCGATTAACACATCATGAAATTTGAATCGCTTGACAGCCCTAGTAAATGCTCTAAATAGGTTTAGTATCATTGCACTCTCCTGAAAGCATTCGTTTTTCTGTTCCTCAAGGTTTCTCCAAGGCAATCGTATCCGATCGGTCACCAGGAAGTCCTTCACAGGCCTGGACCTGCTGGAGCAGCTGTGAGACTCTCTCTCTTTCAGATCTGAAACATGTGATGATGATGCATGTTTGTTAGGTTCTTAAACGTCTGTTCTGTCCTCACATCGCAGGGACTTGAGCAACAACGCCATCATGTCGGTTCAAGCCAACGCTTTCTCTCAGATGAAGAAGCTGGCAGAGCTGTGAGTATGAATCTGTGCTCCTGCACTGAAGCCGCTCGTGAAGCTGCAGTGATTATTCATGCGTCTCTCGCTCCGTCAGGCACCTGAACACATCCAGCCTGCTGTGCGACTGCCAGCTCAAGTGGTTTTCTCCGTGGGTGGCCGAACACGCTTTCCTTCCTCTGGTGAACGCCAGCTGCGCCCATCCACATCTGCTGAAGGGCAGAAGCGTTTTCACCGTCGCCCACGATGAGTTTGTGTGCGGTGAGTTCATTTGAGATCTTATTCATGATTCCATTTCCTGAAACTGCACAGAAGCTGTTCCTTTCATATTTGCAATCAAAACTGTTGTGAATTTGACGAATAAAACTGTTTTTTAAAAAGAAATTAATACTTTTATTCTTTAAGGACGCATTAAACTGATGAAAAGTGACCGTAAAAACATTTGTAATGTTATAGATAGCATTTATTTGAAATAAGAACTGTTCTTTTGAACTTTCTATTGATCCTGAAAAATAAAATGCATCACGGTTTCCACAAAAATATTCATCAGCACAACTGTTTTCAACACACTGTTTTAACTGTTTTGCTAGTATTAGTGTACTTTATAAGAGTGTTCTATTTTAACTGTTTTGCTGCTATTTAGTGTGTATATATATATACAGTATATATATTTTTTTTTTCTTTTTCTTTTTCTTTTTTTTGTTGATGAGAAATTTTATTTGAATATATCATTGTATGAAATTTATAAGAACGTACCAGTATTAAACCCAGTGGAATGAATAGAATTTGAATTCCTTTCAATTTATAACTCATAATTGCTCAAAAACAGTCCGAATTTATCAAACCTACATAGTTATTTCTAACGAAACAACATAAATATTACTCTGAAAAGTTTTCAAACAAAATAAATTTTTTACTTGCATGAACTTTCACTTACAGATGACAAAAAGTGATAAATTTTTCATGCTGCAGTGGTTCGACATTAAGTGACATATTCATGTTCATCAACAAACTTGTGTGAGATATGGGGAAAAGGCTAAATATATTTACACAATTTTTTGACACCAATATAAACTCGTTGACAATTTTACAAAATTATTTTTGACACTTATTGTCCTCCATACATTCCCGGGTCCGAACATTTTAAATGGTTATACAGTATTGCTTAAAACATAATTGTAAAAAAATCTGAAAAAATAAATAATGTGTATTTTGAGGCTCTTAAACGGTGTTTTTTACTTTCCTTAAAAAGTCTTAAATAACGTTTTCCTAATAAAAGGCCTTAAAAAGTCTTAAAATGTCTTAAATTCAGATTCGATGGGCCTTAAATATTTTTTGGTCACATTACCGCTAAAATATCTTACATCTGACGGACCTAATGACTGTTTACAATCATTGGACAGACCGAAGATTTTTTTTCTCCCCCGCGGTAGTTACTGCATCATCAGAGAGAATCGCAGTAGCCGAAAACAGCTACCGTATAATGTTCTCAATAATATCAATAATATAGGTCGAGCTACAGCTGATCAGCCTTCTAGCTAGTTTAAAAAATTTTTTTTTCGACCGGACTTGGTTAAAACATAAGTGACAAAAAATTAAAATAATAATAACCAGCGAAGCATGGAAATGCGAGAATGATTATTCTAATTTTATTAGCCTACATTCAATGTAAACAGCGATTTATAATGGATAGTGTATGTATTTCTGGTATCGAGGTTGTGCTGTTGAGGCTCACTCTGTTTGTCTTTTTGTGAGAGACTTCAAAACGAATGAGCATAACAGCACACATAAAGAAACTCAGAAGAAACACACTGAGGTATAAATTCAAAATGTTTAGTTTATTCATAACATGATATAGTTAAGTAACAAACCATGACAAGTGAGCTATTTTGCTGAATATTGTCACGACGCAAAAAGCATTCAAAACACCTACAGAGTGCACACATTACATGAAGTCTAGTGCGCGTGTGCATTTACAGTGCGCTCTTTCACGGCATGATTCAGTCTATTAAAATACATTCAGAATGACGGTGAGTTCATTTGAGATCTTATTCATGATTCCATTTCCTGAAACTGCACAGAAGCTGTTCCTTTCATATTTGCAATCAAAACTGTTGTGAATTTGACGAATAAAACTGTTTTTTAAAAAGAAATTAATACTTTTATTCTTTAAGGACGCATTAAACTGATGAAAAGTGACCGTAAAAACATTTGTAATGTTATAGATAGCATTTATTTGAAATAAGAACTGTTCTTTTGAACTTTCTATTGATCCTGAAAAATAAAATGCATCACGGTTTCCACAAAAATATTCATCAGCACAACTGTTTTCAACATTGATAATAAATCAGCATATTAGAATGATTTCTGAAGATCATGTGACACTGATGCTGAAAATTCAGCTTTGATCACAGAAATAAATTACAGTTTAACAGATATTCACATTTTAGACTGGAATAATATTTCACAATATTACTGTTTTTACTGTATTATTTTTTATAAAATTAAAATAAATTAAAATAAGACGAGCAATGGCTGCTGAAAATTCAGCTTTGCATCACAGAAATTAATTACATTTTAACAGATATTCACATAGATGGCAGTTATTTTAGACTGGAATGATATTTCACAATATTACTGTTTTTACTGTATTATTTTTTATAAAATTCAAATAATTAAAATAAGACTGGAGTAATGGCTGCTGAAAATTCAGCTTTGCATCATAAGAATAAATTAAATTTTATAATATATTCACATACAATATATTGACAGAAAACACTTGGAATAATATTTCCATTTGCTGTATTATTTTTGATAAAATTAGAATGAATTAAAATAAGACTGGAGTAATGGCTGCTTTGCATCACAGGAATAAATGACATTTCATAATATATTCACATAGACAAGTTATTTTAAATTGTAATAATATTTCACAATATTACTGTTTTTACTGTATTTTTAATTTAAATAATGCAGCCTCGGTGAGCAGAGGAGAATTCTTTATAGTATATGCAAAAAATGGCATTTAAAACTGAAGCTAAATGGAAATTGAGCCAAAAGACAAAACATAATTTAAAATACATTCAGAATGATCACAAATTCAATACATGGGGCAGAAAATGTAAATATTTATACAGTTCATATAGTTAATCAATTTCACATGAAGAGTCCATTTTTTTTCTCCACAATATTACCACGATTACAAGTGTGTTGTTGATTTTTTTTACAACAGTTCAATAAACTATAAGCTCGGCGGCCAGCTCCAGCGACTCCCCGATGACCTTCGCCTGGAAGAAAGACAACGAGATCCTGAACGACGCAGAGATCCATAACCAGGCTCATCTGCGCTCTCAGGTCAGCGAGGTCACGGAGTACACGACCACTCTGCAGCTGCGCCACGTGGAGTTCACTAGTGAGGGCAGATACCAGTGCGTCATCTCCAACCACTTCGGCTCCTCGTACTCCACCAAAGCCAAGCTCACCGTCCACAGTAAGTGTTCGGCTCGACACATTCACACATTTACATCTAAATACACTCTGTTTAATGTTTACATTATTCTGAATCTGTTTCATAACCTATTTAACCCTCATAATGCATTCATAATCTCTACTATACTCTACTACTACTTAAACAGTCAATACTTTATATTTTTCAACTAAAATCATATAGTATCTGAGCAACTTCTCATTAATGAGTGAATGTGAAAAAAAAATGCAAAGTTTTGAATGATACTGGATGTACCCCACTTTTATTGATTAAAAAATTTAAGAAAAAAAATCTTTGAAATTTAAAATTTCGCGTGAACAACACCAAAAAAAAAAAA